ATCTATATCTATATAAATATCTACATATATAATGTATATATGTACTATACATACATATACCATAGCATACAGTTACATCTATACATATCTGTGACTGCCTTTATATGTGTGTGTAATTCAGCTCCCTGCGTGTTGCTGTTCCTCTGTTAAATATCCATTAGCTAATTGGGCCATCTGCCTAAAGGCCCCAAAATGAGAAACTTTCCGACACTGTATATACATAAACAAACACACACAAACTGATTTAAGTCACATGAACGAAAACAAAAAAGCCAAAAAAAAAAAAAACTAAATTACTTAGAATGTAATGAAAATGCAATCCAATCGTATATCGTAATTAAACTTTATGATGTGTTATATCAAATTTAACTTGATTTAAGATTATCAATAAGAGATGCTTGAAAATATATATCTTAATATTCATAGTGTTGAAGAACACCAATATAATTTAAGAACTTTCCAACACTATTTCTTTGTGAACTCTTTCAAATTTTCCTCTCTCTCCTTCCCTTTGATATCTATCTTTCAATCTATCTCCATCTCTCTCTTTTGTCGGATCTGTATACTTATTATATCTATAAGTTTATAGAGCTGTCTGGCAACGCTTTGAGAAGTCAATCATGGCCACCGTCTGCCTAGGTGGCAGCCTTATGCATATTTCTTTGATTTAACAATCAGTTTAACTGGCAGTCTGATTGCTTTAATTTTATGGCCCATTTCACTGTTGAGCCAACAATTTTGTTGGTCAACTTGAAAGTTTGAGGCCCTCATGGCACTCGTCAACAGCTTTGGCAATCTCACAAAAATTCGCTACGAATGAACTGACTGTGCAAACAGACTCCAACATGCAATAACTCGAAAGTTTTTAAGTCTCGCAGTCAGAGCTCAATATTCAGAAATGAATAATAACTTTTAATAGCCAGCTCTAACTGCGGACATGTTTAACAGAGCTGCCAGAAGGAAACTACCCACTCAACCTTTCTAAGCACACACACACACACACACAAACATACAGTCAGACACACACTTAGACTCTTATACATATATATACGCATTTACACTTGTTCGTGGCTCCTTTTGTCGATAAGCCTTTACCGTCACGCACTTGGCTCAAAGACACTTTTTATACTCTGTTTGAATAGGTTGCATGAGAGCGTATGATCCTGTCATTCTAAATGAATACAATTCCTTATTGGAATTCCACAGAAAATAGAAAATACAATATAGAATGAAAGAGATATAAGTAAAGAAGTGACTCGTTGATATGTTTTACAGTTAAACAAACAGAGTTTTACAGTGAGCTCAGCCAGGAGTAAAAGAGCCTCCCATCAATATCTCAGAGGTTCCTTAGCTCAGTCTTTACTCTCAGAAAAAACAGTTTGCATATTTGATTGTAGCTCAAATTTGGGAATCTCCCATCTTATTCCTAACAAAATCAGAGTTCACAAGCATAAGTCTCAGAGCCTTAGAGCCAAGAGTAAAAGAGTCTCCCATCAATATCTCATAAGTTCCTTAGCTCAGTCTATGCTCTAAGTGAAACCCGTTTGCATATTTTATTGTAGCTCAAATTTGGGAATCTCCCATCTTATTCCTAACAAAATCAGAGTTCACAAGCATAAGTCTCAGCCAGGATTAGCATTAGATTAGTACAGAGTATAATGCAGTCGTGAGCTGTGGCCGTGGCTCGTTCGTTTACTTCGTAGTTAATTATGTGCCAATTAGTTGACACACGCGCGCCTCGGAGACCGCTAAATCGGCTCACCCGGCCCACCCGGTCCACCCGGCCCACTTGCTGGGATGCACAACAGCCTTGGGTTGCGCCACGCATTAGGCTGTTCCCATTGCCATTGCCGTTCCCTTTGCCTTTGCCGTTGCCGTTGCCGTTGCTGGGGACAACCGAAGGCGGGCCAGGGCATAACATTGGCCCAAGCCATCCACTGAACAGCACGCGTGTCCCTACGCACTGTTTCACTCTGTTTCGTCTCCTTTTTTTCTTTGCGCAAATGTTGACAAGCTTTACCCTCAGATTTTTTGTTACAGTCTAAAGTTTTTCGAACGCCGACTAAAATCGCCTTTGACCCCTGTCAAGCGTACTGTTTGCATAGTGAGTGCTTTTAGAGCGCACTTCAGTGAAAAAATGCAACTATTGCTCTCGAGCGGCTTTGTACCGTTATTTTTTTTTTTTTTGTGACTGCCTCATGCCGGCACGTAGAGCGCATTGCCTACGTCCGTTTTTTGAAGCCCTTAAGCCCGGCTGCCCAGGTGCGAGCATGCCACCTGTATTAGGCCCAAGTCTGAGCGACGACGAGCAAGGAATTATGGGCGTGTGTGACTTTGCCCATTCGTGCCTATCAACGTTGTCTTTACTATCTGCACTCGCGCTGCTTCTGCACACGGGGCGTTCATCTCGGTTCGACGAACTCTGTTGTCCGGCTCCACTGTGTGTGGGAGAAAGCTGATCAATTTGTAAATGCCAGCTGATTTA